AGCGAGGGGCTGCCCGGAAGGCGAGAGAGAGAGAGAGAGAAGGGCCGTGGCCTGGCATCGCTCGGACGTGTGCATGTCTCCTTCGGCGAGGACCGTCGAGGAGCATCCTTGAGCATTTGGCGAACCAATCACGCACGAAACCGAAAAAAGCACGGGGAATGGACGTCCGGGCGATGGCCAGGTGGCCAACACGGTCCGCGATCGCCCAGCCGTTCTGAAGAGCCAGTGGCTGCAAGCCCAGGAGCCCTGGGCTTCCCAAGTGGACCTGGGCCAGAACGGCTAGGAGGAGGAGGAGGAGGAGGAGGAGGAGGAGGAGGAGGAGGAGGAGGAGGAGGAGGAGGAGGAGGAGGAGGAGGAGGAGGAGGAGGAGGAGGAGAGGGGGTCCCTCTGATCCTGGCGTCGCAAGAGCAGAGGGTCGCGGCGGCGAGTGCTTCTGCATACTTCTGCGGCCTCCAGAGGGCCGCTGCCCAGGCACCGGACGTCAGAGGGCGACGCGGGATGGAACAACATGCAGCACGGGGCAGGAAGGGGTCGAGAGCCCTGGGGGCCCACGTCACGAGATGATTGCGGCGTCGGAGGGCAGGGTCGGGGGCAACGCCAGTGAGGGACAGTCTCAGGGTCGAAAAAATCTCAGACAGGGGGAACAACAGAAGCACAGACACAAGTAAGCGTCGACTCCCAGAAAAGTATAGGGGAAATATTAGCAATGGGGGGGGGAGGACGAAAATCAAGAACAGATTAGAAAATAAAAGGAATCCTGGGATTTGTGTATATCGACTTGTGTGTCCCTGGGCCCCTTCAACATCGTCCCTCAGTCGCCCATTCATCGCCTATACGCAGGGGCCTGACAGCCCACCCCGCCCAGGAACGGGCGGTTTCGCCATCGAGGGCGATCGCCGATCTGTCGGCGACGTATTTCGCCGATTCGAGCTCGACTTTCCCACCTCCCCGAGCTGTTCCCCCCCCGATCGTTCTCCCTCAGGGGGGCAGAGGGGGCGGATCGAGGGGACTCCAGCAGACGGGCTGCCGCGTTTCGAGCGATCTGGGCCCGAGGGCTCGATCGTGCTGAGACCCCCCATCCAGCCTGCGGGCGGGTCGACGAGCGAGGATCGAGGTCTGCGGACGTGTCCGCGCCACCGCTGGTCCTCCCGGCGTGCACCTCCTGACCGAGGCCTCTCAGATTCGGGTGTTGCTGGAAGTGCCCCTGACCCAAGGTATGATTTCCAAGGAGGCCCCCACAGCCTCTAGAGCACCCCCCACGAGGCCCAGAGGCCCCAGGGGCTCCAAAGTGGAGCAAAAAGCTGGGGGTCCAGGGGCACTTGTAGCAACATCCGACAGATGGGGTCCGACTAGATGGGGTCGGAGGGTCGTCGATGCAGCGGCGATGCGCATCGGCGGCGTCTGCGATGCCTCGGCGACGTCGGAGTGGAGAAGGTCGGGCTCCGCATCGAGCCTCGCACCTCGCCGCCACCTGCTCGGCCACCACGGAACGCACCCCGGAGCAGGTCCACGGGGGGGGAGGCCTCACATCTGGAGCCAGGTGGGGGCCGGAGGTCGCCCGGCACTGGTTCCAGCCAGCCAGCAGCAAAGGGTCACGGGACGAGGAGGGATGGTCCCAGACCTCCCTTGGAGTCACGGAAGCATCACGACGGCAGAGTGTTCGCTGGTTTGGGCTTCGGGGGGCCCTCGCCGGCCTGCGCTTGCACGTCACCGGAGACTCCTCGTCGCCGCGGCTGCGTGCTCCTCGAGGCTCTGATCTGGACGCACCCCGAGAAAGATCCGGGGAGTAGCGGCATCGATATTTTTTTGGTTTCCCCAGAGGGGGCCTGTTTCCCCTAACATTAAGTCGGGCCTGTCCCCCATACAGGGGGGTTCTTCGACGAAAAAAGAAGTATCACCAAAATAGTCAAAAAATAGTCCAAAAATAGTCTGGTGATTATTTTTTGAGTATTGTTTGACCTTTCTGGGGTATTTTTGGTGTATGTTTTTTTCGTCGAAAATCCCCCTGTAGGGGGACACGCCCGACATAACCCTAACAGCGCTTCGCCAGAGGGCTCCGATGGACGTACACGGGGACCACGGGAGAGTCCCACAGGGGGGGGGCGGGGAGTCCGAGGCGCCAGCTGCCGTTTCGCCTGAGGTGTCCTCACAGTGGGTCCTCGGGAGCCTTGAGACGGGGGTCAGAGCAAACGGGGGTCAGCCAGGGCGCCAGATCTTGCAGGAGCCTGCGAAGACCCCCTCTGGCTGACCCTGGGTCAGCGAGCCGCTCGTGGCCGCGAGGCGGCCGCGCATGTTGGCGGACCCGGGTTTGCAAAGATGTGCGCTGCAGATTTTTGTCTTGCATTGCAGTTCTTGGTTTCCTGCTGACCCGGGTCTGGATTGACCCGGGTCAGAAGACCTCCGAGGTCCAGGAATCGTGTTCTTGCCTCAATGCCAGCCACATATTTGGCCTGGACGGCCACGACTCCTTGTAAAAGGTAAGAGTGAGGGGGACCGAACGGTCATTCATTGTCCCCGGGTGCGTGGCATCCGGCGGATCCCGCTTGATTGATTGAGGCGGGACCTTGGGCCCCTGACCCCCCCCCAGCAACCCGGCAACCCCCTTTTGAAAGGCCTTCGGGAAGCCGCCCCAGGGGGGGGTGCTGGGTTGCTGGAGGCCTCTATTAGCCCAGTGAGCCCTTACGGTCCACCCCAGGGGGGTTCCTGAAGGAAACGGATTCCTGACGGATTCCTGGAGGATCCCTGGAGTATCCCGGAAGGTTCATCCAGAATTCCTGAGGACTCCTACGGGCTCCTAAAGGATTCTAGAAGGATTCTTGGGAAGTCGTGAAGGCTTCTTGAGGATTCTGAAGGATTCCTACGAAGGATTCCGAAAGAATTCCTGGAGGCTTCCTGCGAGGCTCCAAGGATTCTGGGGGATCCCTGAAGGATTCCCGAGAATGCCTGAAGGATTCTTGAGGATCCCCATGGGATTCCGAAAGATTCCCCGGGGTTCTCGAGGCTTCCTGAGGATCCCCAAAGGATTCCTGAGAGTTCCAGAGGATTCGCCGGGATTCCTGATTGGCTCCTGCAGATTATTGAAAAGTTCCATCGGATTCCCGGGGATTGCTGAGGATTTCTGCAAGGTTTCCTGCCAGATGTCTGAAGCATTCCTGAAAGGTTCCCTACGGTGCGCACGGCCGTGCGCTCACTCCTTTGTCACGGCTACGATCCCTTGTCGAACGTTCATTACGGTGCACATGGCCGTGTTCTCACCCCGGGCCACCCTCTCACACGATCACGATCCCATGTACAAGAATAACGTTTACGGTGCACATGGCCGTGCTCTCACCCTTGCCAATGCAGGTTTTCATTAACCAACCATATACTCCTCGACCCGTCTCTTCTTACTTGCTGCAATTCGGGTGTTTTGCTAGGGTCATCGCCCTTTTTTGAGCGCCTGGGGGCTCGTCGCCACGGCTGGACGTGGCTCGGATGCATTTGTATCCCGGGAGGAGTCCAAGGATCCGATGTTGAACGGATTTGGCTCCGTCCCCCCTCTTGACGGCGTCTCGGGGCTCATCCAGCTCAGACCCCCTGACCGCTTGCAACCTCAGATGTTAACGCCTCGAAGACAAATAGGGTCGGAGGTCGATGGAACCCACACCCTGCCAAGCCGATTACAGTCGACTCGTATGGTAAGGATGGACAACCTTCCCAAGTGTACCCTTACATCCTTGCCCCTTCGGCCCATCCTTAGCGACTTTCGCTGGCCAACCTCGTTCGAACAACGTTAACATGGGCCTCCAAGGCCCTTGCACCCTTACCGCGCATCCTTAATATACGGGTTGCTTAGGAGCGGGGTTCCTAGGAGGGTTCTTCGGAGCTTCTCAGGAGGTAGGGAGTTCTTAGGAGGTTCTTAGGACGTCCTCGGGAGGTTCTTAAGGATTTCTTAGGAGGTTCGCTCGGTATCTTAGGAGAGGCAGACAGGGACCACAGAAGAAGAGTCCCACCGGGGGGGCGAGGAGCCCAAAGCCGCCCGGCAAGACCGCGTGGTCCCGGTTTGCATCCTTCTGGTACGGGCTGTTTGTAGCCAATTGCGCTTTCTCGGTTCTCGAGAGAGCGTGGCGGGTGCAAGGAGAATGGTGGGCCTTTGCCCGCAGGATCTGGTCCCTGGCCGTTTTCACTCACGGGTCTCGCAAACGTCGAAAAGAAAGCATGTCTGCTTCCTCTGCGTAATGGGCTCCGCGTGCGGATCATGTATTAACATGCAGGGAGTTAGTATTAAAACCTAGATGAGTTCATGCATAAATTCATTCGTAAATTAATCATGTATTAAACATCCTATATTCTTTTTAAAATCCGATGCATTAAAAACTGCCCTGGACCTCTTTGTCCCCGCAAGGGGCGGGGGGAGCACAGGGGGCGGGAGGCCTCCCAGGGCTTCCGTGGACGCGAGGCGTCGGTTGGGGAAGCATGCGGGGACGTGCAAAGACCACGGCTCATTTCGATTCCTCCGGTTCGGTCCGGTTCGATCTCGATGGCTTCCGATTCCGATTCGATTCGATTTCGGATTCCGATTGGGGCTCCGACTTGTCAATGGAGGCCTGCCGGCCTTCGGATTTCCGCCGATTCGCCGTCTCCCGACTCGGCGGCCGATCTCCGCCGACCCGATTCCTTCCGATTGCAGGTCCGACGGATCGATTCGAGTCTGGGCTCCCCATGCAGACCCGGAACTCCGGGGGACGTGTGGAGATCCCCGAGGGCCTCTCAGGAGGGTTCTCAGGAGGTCTTGAGGAGGGTTCGTAGGGATTTCTTGGGAGGTTCGCTGGGGGGTTCTCAGGAGAGCCCGACTTTCTGGGAAGTCCAGAGACTTCTGATACCATCTGGAGGCCTCTGGGGATCAGGATCTCCGATTCGGCCTCCAGAGGTGGCTGCTGGGGCTGTCACAGGCGGCTCCGAGTGGAAAGCTGGCTCGCGGGAAAGGGGTCGATCATTCCAGGGGCTGGTGCTTTGAACAGATTGGGTCAACGGAGGCTTGGGGGATGGGTGAGAAGACGACACCTCAAAAATGGCAATGGCGCACCCGCGTGACAGAGTGGAGCTTGCGCCCAACACTCTTCTGCGAAGCCGATTGTACAAATACAGGGTGATGATCCGTCCACCTCCAAGATGTACAAAGACCAATCGTCAGCATCGCCATTGTCGTCGTCGCCGCCGACACTCCGTCATCTGCAGAGGCAGTCTGGAACACACCGGCTATGCAGCATCGGCATGGCGTCTGTTTGGATGTTTTCGCGGCTTCCGTGTCTTTCTTTCAGTAGTCCAATTCATTATGCTTGCTCGCCCACGCTCCCGTTATCGCTCCGTTCTGGTGCCGTCCCCTCGCTCCCTCTCTTGATTTCTCGTGTTCCTTCTCTCTCCACTCTCTCGCGTGCCCACTCGCTTTCCTCGCTCGTTGTCCTATCAGATGATCCTACTCAGTCGAATCTCTTGGACGCATCCTGCGAGGCCACAGCAGCAGCGGGAACTGGAAACGGACAGGCGACTGGAGATGGAGACGCAGCCGCAACAATAGCAGCAGGGCCCGGAGGGAAAGCAGCACCAGCAGAAAGGATGAGCAAGCAGGTAGGAGGAAAGAGTGAGAAGGGAGGAGCGAGGATGGACGAGGCTTGGGGTGGGCACCGAACCCGCGGCTGGCAGAGGGGAGCAGGAGGAGGAGGAGGAGGAGGAGGAGGATAACGACGTCGACGATGACGACGAGGTTCGGTTCGGTTCGGACCTCCTCGAAGGCGCGAGTCGCAGCTCGCAACTCGGGAGGGGGGAACCAAAAATACACAGACACCATGAATCGTCGATTCCCAGGAGAATATGCGAAAACATTGGAAGTGGGGGGGAAGACGAACATCAACAAACATATGGGAAGATATGGAGAATCATGTTATTCGTGTTTATTTGTTTGTGTGTACCGGGGCCCCTTCAACAACAGCCAGACGGGTACCGCCGCCATGGGAAGCGACAACCGAGATGACGAGGAGGGGGGAGGAGGAGGAGAAAGGAGGAAAGAGGAAGGAGGGTCTAAATTTCTTTACACCTCGAGGGGTCATCGTCTCGAGAACGCTCGGCAGCGCGGAGCCACGCTCCCCGAAGAGCGTTTGCACTTGCAGGGCCTGTGGGGGTTCTTACTCTGGCTGGGCAGCAGTTGGATGGGTCCGCTGGGGTTTCGCCTGGTGGGCGGCGGGAGGCGCTCTGGTGGGCGTCCCGTGCGCTGGGTGGGAGCGTCGAGGTCTCGCCCTCGTGGGCGCCTCGTGGGCGCCGGCTGGGTCCACCGAGGCTTCGCCCCGTGGGCCCACTCCCCTCCCGAGCCCAGGCTCATCCAGGCCTCGGAGAAGCCACATTCATCAGCGCCTCCCCCTCCCCCCAATGTTCAAAGTCGGCGGTGGGTCTGATGAGTTGCACCTCGACCGCAGTCTCCCCCGCGCGTGTCAACTTTGATCTTGGGGGGCAGGGGGGGTGTTTACTGAGTGTTTTCCTATACCGTCCCTCCCCTCCTCTCGAAAGAAAGATCGGATCCACCCCCCTGCCGAGCCTGGACTTGTCGCCTTCCCTTGGGGAGAAGACTCCGTGCTACCTGTCTGAACCTCTCGCCAAACCGCCCAAAATTCACGCGCGCGCGTCGAAATCGCACCGGACACAGTATTCTAGACGTTTCGCGTCGCCCCACCTGCGCGCTCTGCCGCCCACGATGGTTCGCCAGCCTGGCTGTCGACCCCCTGTGCGACGTCCGCCCGCCGTTTCGCTTCTTCGTGGTCGACGAGCACATGCACGACGTCTGACGTTGGGTCCACGATCTGGATCCGGTCGCGTTCCAATTCATTACCATTTTGGTGTGCAGCGAAGCCCTCGTCCTGGACCTCCTCGGCTTGGGGTGAACTTCCTGTTCTCTTGCGTCGTTTTCGCCACCCGAGTGGCAGCGTAGCCCGCTCCTGTCGCTTGGGGCCTAATTAAGTCGTGGCGCGGTTGCTTCGTTTTTGATGGCGCGCGGTTGCTCCGTGTCGCTCGCGAACAAAAACGTAGCCCCACCAGCCTAGCCAGATACGATGCCCAGGCGAGTTGCCCTGATCATGGATGTGGAGGAGCATGCAGTGCAATAGTGGACTGGGTAGGACGTCGTGGCCCAAGATCGGAGGCGGAGCACGAGGAGGAGGAGAAGGACGAGGAGGAGGAGGAGGAGGAGGAGGAGGAGGGATATACGGAGGGGGAGGAAGGAGGAAAAAGAAGAAGGAGGGATAGGCGGCCGAGCGAGAGGAAGAGGAGGAGGAGGAGAAGGAGGAGGACGAGAAGGAGGAGGAGGAGGAGGAGGGCGAGCAGAAAATCCAGATTCTTCTTGGATGCCTCTCGGAGTCTCTTCGGATGTGTTTTGAGAGCTTCTTGGAGTCATCTTGGGGCGCCTTTGGGGTATGTTTGCAGTCTCGGGGGCCTCTTGGGGAGTTTGGGTCCCTCTGGGGGGCGCCGTGGAGCCTCGTGGGGGTCTTTTGGGAGCCTCGTGGCGGCATATTGTGCTCCTCTCGGGAGCCTCCTTGGGCCTTCTGGGCCACGGCCTGGGCACCTCTCGGGGCCGTTTTGGGGGGCCCTCGGGAGCCTCGGGGGCCACGTTGGGGCCATCTGGGACGCGATCGATCAAAGGAAGGGCCGTATTTAATTAGCGTTTCCCCCTCCCCCCCCCCCCCTTTCCCAGGAAGCCACAATGTGGCCAACACCTTAGTAACATTCGCGATCAGGGCCTTCTCGCCGAGGCCGTTTTGGACGCCCCCACGACCCGCCCCCACCCCACCCCCACCCCCACCCCGAGGAGCAAACCTCTCCCCGAAGGGGAAGAAGGGGGTCAGTTAAAACAGAACACGCGCCTAGGCACTCACGCCATAAAGACCTCTCACCACAAAATCAGCCAACGCAATTTATGGCTTGCATCAAATATCTGCCCGCGCGCACGTGCTGAAATAAAGGGGAAGCATATGGTTCCAGCAATCTCGCTCAGAAACCGCATTATCATGTCACTACGCGTTGCACCTGTGCTGATATTGCAGACGCCCAAAGCACAGTTCCATATGTATGAGCTTACAGTCGGACCGTTGTATAAGATCGAGATCGGTTCTGGGAGGGTGCCCTAATGTTATTCGTGCCAGTTGGATGTTCTTGTGCATCCTGGGGGGTGTAACCTTGGATGTTCTGTTTTGGCCGACGGAGGGTCTCATGATATTGACGAATGATTTTCTGACCTAGGTCCAATTGCGCACCACGCGGGCGACGCGTGCGCCGCCACGCGCGCAGCGAAATCTCTCAATAGCATTGCTTCCCGACGCGGTTCAAAATATTTGTGGACTCCAGAACCCGGATTACAGGGCGCCAGAAGGGCGCGCGAAGGCTTGTCGGAGAACTCCGGAAGCTCCTGGAGAGGGGTTCCGGAGGACCTTTCTGGAGAGCTTCTGGGCAGACGTATTGGGAAACGCTCAGAAAAGGCCAGCTGGAACACGCTGCCAGCTCTAGCAACTCGCGACGAGGCTTCCTGCCGGAAGCCAGAACGATCTCCGGGGCTTCTCTGCGGCTCCGGCTTCTTAATCTGGAACCCTAACACAGAAGAAAACAAATGCCGATTCGTTTGGCCAATCCGCTGCATGTGCTCGTGCCTTTTTGCGCGCGCGCTCCTTCCTCGCCATCGCCCGAATCAGCGCCGTCGCATCACCGCCGTTACCGTCGTCGCCAATCGCCGCCATGTTTGCCATCATTGGTAAACCACTTTCATCGCCAACACATGGGCATCATCCGCCGGCGTCGCCAGCATCAGCGCCGTCATTAGCCTTTCCGTCCTTGCCATCGCCATCGCCTTTCGCCACCACCATCGCTACGATCATCCTCGCCGCCGTCGTGGACGTCATCACGACATCGCGCCCGCCCAGGTCACCGACGTGCAATGGAGCGACCCGCGCGCCAGTGCGGCCCCGGAGTCGCGCTGGGAGCTCCCTTCGGCAAGCGCTATCGCGGCCGCATCAGTTTCGCTGGACCAACAGGCCGCTCTTCGCGAGATTCGGCGCCAGCGCGGCCGCAGATGCGCGCCAGCCACGGCCAAGCGGTCACCGCAATCGCGGCTGCATGGGCTTTCGCAACCTAGGTGCGGGTAGGAGGGTGGGATGATTGCGTGAGCAGTGGAGCTAGCGATGCATGAGTCGGCAAACGTTCGCCCCCCTTTTCTACACGCCACCACCCCCCCGATGCCGAGCTTATCCGCACCCCCTGGGGATGTGCAGTTTACATTTGATTTTGCCCCATCGTCCATCCGAACTATGTATTCGAACCATCTCAGGGGGCCGATATCCCCGCCCGTGATCTCCTGCACGCGAAATGCGCGCGCCCGTTAACCAAAAGTCATCAGTTTCCAAGAATCCGTTCTGCAAGAAATGAGACGAAGCGCACGCGCGCGCGCTGTCGCGCTCGCGTGCCAGATTTCCAAATCGAGCGCCAAAAGATATAACACATAGGTTTGCAAGGAGAAGCTTGCGAGCGCCTTCTTGCGAATGCTTGGGAAAACCGAAGTTTTTCTCACGTGCTCAGAAACTGCCACCAAACGGGCTTCGCGCGCGCATGTCGAAATCGTTCGAACGCCCGTGCGCGCGTGCCGCCGCGAGGATCATTTGAGCAAAATGTGACGAAGTGCACGCGCGCGCGTCGTCGCGCTCGCAGGTTTCGCAACGGGGATTTTCAAACAAAGGTCGCGCGCTCGCCCTTCCAAATTCTCAAGGAAAAAACATAGGTTGTTCATCGTTTCCAGAAGCTGCTACCAAACGGGCTTCGCGCGCGCGCACGTCGAAATCGTTCGAACGCCTTGCGCGCGCGCGTCGCCACGAGAACCCCCCCCCCCCCCCGGAAGGGGGGAGAAGAAGAAGAAGAAGGAAGAAAGAAAGAGAAATAAATCCCCTCCCAAAAAAACAACGAAGCGCACACGCGCGCGTCGTCTCGCGCGCACGCCTCAATACGTCAGAAACTTCGGGCTTCGTGGCGATATCAAAACCAAGTGTCTCAAACACATACACAGGCGCATGGCTTCGCAACGTCAGTTTTCAAGGCAGCGCGCGCTCCCGCTCCTGCGAATTCTCGAGGAAAGCATCGTTATCTCAATATTCTCATGGA